CTGTTTCTCTCTCTCCCTCTCTCCCTCCCACCCCTCACCCCTGTATGTGCAGAGCAGAGGCCTGACCTTGACGACTTGAGATGACAGGGAAGAAAACAACGACGCTGAGTGCAGCACGTGGAGCATCTGTCTGGTGTGGAGCACAGGTGCATCAGCATCAGGGACTCCAAACTTAGGTCAAAACAAACTTGTCTCAGGAACTGTGGGAGAGTACGGTGGCAAATGAGAAGAACCGACATCATACTCAAAGACTACATGCCTTGCCTTTGTTTGAATTAGACAAAAGTATGTACTGTTATCTTTATTTTGACTGAAACTCATAGTTTTATTTTTAAATATTATCAAGGAAATTCCATGTGTTCCGAAGTAGAAAAGCCTATATAGTCAAACCATGTGCCTATTAAAGGCATAAGTCTTATTTTCAGTCTTCAATATCTTACTGTTAATGGAATGAATTAGTAATTATTTAGAATTACTTAACTGTGAAGAGTTTTAAGATAAAATAAATAATTCTATGGAAACCTTGTTTTTAGCATAACATTTGGTTTTTGTATAAAATAACCTTGTCATTGAAATGAGGATTCTAAATGTGTTTGGTACACCAGACCAATTCAGTTTTCCATCTAGAAGGCAGGCCGACTAGAAGGCTGTCCATGCAAACAACAACTAAAAATTCATTCTCTGTTTTTAAGCCTTTTGTTCCTGAGACAGGTGGTTTACAGGCTACAGACCGAGAAGGACCTGTGTCTCTGGTTTTCATTTTTAACAAAGTTCAAAGAGTGACCTCAAATACCCTAAAATGCCAAGCATACTATGAACAAGTTCAGGGTCCGACCATTTACATTTCACAGGAAGTATGTTTTCCTCTGGCATGTTGGCATCAGTTCAGGGCAAGTGAACTGTTCACAGACACACTGATGCTTCTCAAGGTTTGAGAGCAATTGGCTCTAACTCAGAACACTTATCTTTAAGTTTCATTCCTCTGGCATCCAAAAGAACGCGTTGCAGAATTCTGTCGAGTTATTTCTACTGAATTGCCACCTCCTTAAACTTCTAAGAAACAAGAACACAGATTGTCAAGTGCAGCCTTTGTTTAGATGAAAGACTGATATTTTGGGTCTATTCTGTAAGATCAGATTTGGGATGAAAACATTTATGTTTATACATTGCCCTCATTAAATCATCGGAACCAACAAATGACACTTTTAAAATAGCACATTCTCTTCAACCACTGCAGCAAAGAAGGAAAGCAAATTTACACAAGCCAACTCGGAAACCAAAGTGTGCTATTTATTAAACTTCTGAATCTGCAAGTCTTGATTTTTACACTCTGAATACCACAGGTTAATCTAGCTCCACTTTAAACCTTCCCCTGACTGAGCACCCTTTGAAACTGTAATAGCTATCATTCTGTTACCCACAGTAATTTACCTTCGGGTCCTATAAATTGAAACCTGACTGCTGCTTCTATAACCATGGAAATTTCTTGCTTTGTGTCGTAGCTTTCTTATTTGAAGATGACAAGTAAAACACACAGTGAGTAATTCAGGAGCAGGTTATGAAGACTCATCAGATAACATATGCCAAAGGCTGATAGTCTTTCATCATATGTAAAAATTGCTCAATAAAATTTTAGAGTGAAAGTACAATGATACATCAGGAAGGGTGATCTTCCCACCACTCGCTTTTAATCCGATGAGGAGTGTATGTGTGCGGATCCAGGTCTTAGGACATCATTCCAGAAAATGTAAGCAACATTGAACCCAAAGTCAAAGTGACCGGTGCAGAACATGCTGTGGGCATTTAAGGAAAACAGATTAGTGGAGACTGAAAATTGAGACTTGCTTCTTAGCTCATGAATGAAGTGCTTGAAGGAGACAGCACTCAAAATTTCTTATCTTTAAATTGCATGAAATTGTCAGAAACATTCCTGTAGTATTAATATGGGTCAAAAGTGCCCTCTTTGATGAATGCTGTACAGTATGCTTGTCTATAAATGTAAGGATCCATGTTTAGCATATGGTAAAAAATTTCATTTGTCTAGAGTTATGACAGAGACAGGGTTGTCTCTGGGCTCTATGACCTCTCCAGCCATGTGTATTTGACTGTGTTTACAGAGCCACTCATGAGTTCACTCCCATTGAGAGGGGTTTAAGTCCAATTAGATAGCTGTTGATTTCCCCCCAGATAACACTGCCATTACTGTGCCAAAAGAGGTGGTTTGCTGTGCCAGTCCTTATGGTTATTAGTTTTTAGGGCTGTATTGGACCATTGATTGATTTTCTCCCTTAGAAACTTGCATGGTTTTTGCTAGAACTATGAGAAATAAACTTCACATAGAAGGTTTCCAGCTTAGTTCCTGCTCTATTGCTCCAAGTCCAATGTCCAAAGTGTGTCCTGTCTTCACCAGGAGGGTCTTATCTTTATATTCTGGGAGAGAAGCAAGAGCTCTGACAAGAGCCTGTGTTATTTTGGGAGTCTCTTGGACCAACCACCCAAAAGGAAGTCTCTCCTGTGTTCCTTGCCATCAAAGAAGCTTCTGTTTGCAGCAGACGGAGGCTACTTCAGAGTTCCACAACTTGTCACACACAGAATATACATCTGAGACATGCCCAGTCCTAGGTGTCATATTTACAGTGTAACCTCTACACCTAAGACTCAGAACACAGCAGACAGCAGGTAGAGAGAAAACTAGTGCATCCCTAACTCTCACCAGTTGAAGCCTCCTTATACAACAGAGTATGATGCACACAGAAGGCCACAACTGGCCAAGTTGTGGACTTCAGAGTGTGTGTCCCTGGATAGGAGTACTATATCAAACCTCTCCCACCCATGGCTCAGGGACCATTGCAGAAGATGGGGCAGAAAGATTGTAGGAGCCAGGGCTGGATCATAAACACAGGGAACAGAGGCTTTCAGGCCACCGCAAGCGTGCACATGTGAACTTGTGGTAAAGGCGGCATCAAATACGGGACCCATGCCAACTCAATTAGACAAGGACCCAGAGGAAAGCAAAGGGAAATGGGCTGGACATAGTCCAGAACTGTTGGAGACTGATTACTACTGGGTGAGGGAGAATATATATTATTTAAGATGTCTAGATATACTGACTAGACTCCAGTGGATGAATTTGTACCAAAAGACATCTGGGTACAAATTCTTGACTGGTTAGGACTTCACATGCATGTCGGAATGCATGAGGGCCAGTAGAGGGGCATGAATTTGATAAAGAACTGCTGTATGAAATATACAAAAGCTCGACAGTTTTTTAAAGTGTCATCAGCTGGTATGTTATCCTGGAGCTTAACATTATTGTCACCAAGAATGTAGCAGACCATACAGTCTTAACCATTCAGAGAAATAGAAGAAAGTAAAAAAAAAAAATCATCCCCACCCTACACTGTAGACATCAGAGCATCTGCATATATTGTCCCCACTAAACATCAATGTTTCAATGTTTTAGCCAGGCATGGTGGCACTCCCACAACTTGGGAGCAGAGGCAGGCAGATCTCTGTAAGTTCAAGGCCAGCCTGGTCTACATAGTGAGTTTCAGGCCAGCTGGGGCTACAGGGAGACCCTGTTTCAAAAAGAAAGACATAAATAAGTAAATAAATAAATGATAAACAAATAAATATCAATGTTTTATTTTATAGCTCAAGTACACATCAGGATAAAACTTTGATAAGAAGTCGCATCATGGGCTAGAGGGATGGCTCAGTGGTTAAGAGTGCTTGCTGCTCTTGCACAGAAGTCTGTGCGATTGTCTGTACCATATCAGGCATTATATAACTGCCAGTAACTTCACCTGCAGGGGTTCCAGTGCCCTCTTCTGGCCTCTGCAGTCAACTGCACTCAGAAGCATACACACACACACACACACACACACACACACACACACACACTCACACTTAAACTTTTTTAAAATACTAAGAAAAATAAAGTCCTATCACTTTTGATATTAGATGTGTTTAAGGCAGTCTATATGTTGTTATCAAATGTATGGATTACTAAAATTAAGTTTTTAAAATTACAATATATACATTTCATCCACATGTTAAAAGACATCATGTAAAATCACCAAATTGTATTTGGGTTCTATGTCAATAAATATCCACATGTAGTCAGGAGGACAATATTACATTAACATTTGCATGCAGTAAAGGGTTTGTGCCATGCTTGCTTGGCTGCCAAACTCTGCATAGGATTTTCTCGCATAGACAAGCTGCCCAATAAGAAGTAAACTTGGTGTTTGGTCACCTTTAAATGCAACTCCATTTGGCTTACTTATATTTCTCTTAACTTCTCCATTATTTGATTTAGATGATGTGTCATCCTGCCTTAGGACATGAAGCCCCATGGTACCCTGCAGCTTGCTGTGAGAGACTGTGCCATCATACAAGTGGAGAGGTTCCAGAGAAGTTAAAATCATTTCTACTGCATACTGTGACTCTGACATAAAATAAGAAACTGTTTCCATGAGAAAGTACTAATAAGCATACTCACTAATGAGATATTTTGCATATTAATTAAAACAGATACCAATGTACTATGAAACTCTTGTGAACAAAGTTTGCATTTGTGGCAGTACTGACAACACGGGGAAATATCTGGAGTGTGTGTGTGTGTGTGTGTGTGTGTGAGAGAGAGAGAGAGAGAGAGAGAGAGAGAGAGAGACGCAGAGGCAGAGAACAACAGACACAGACAGGTAGAAGACAGAGAACCTAATTCATTATTTCACACCAAAGAAACAGAATCAAAAGCAGCTGAAGAGGAAGCAAAGTAATAACTTGATAACTAAAAAGAAAAAAGAGTTCAATGGCAAATGAAAATTATATTGACATATGATGATTGTTTTGAAATCATATGTTGTCTTATCTTGTTGTAGCACAAATTAATTTATATTTCTTTATAAGAAAGAAAAAAAAACAAAATACAGAAGTCACTTGACTAAAGATGGCTTGTTCTCTGTCATTGATTTTACTCATAAGAAATCAGTCTTGTGCTCACTTCAGAAGCACAGATACTAAAAGTGGAATGATACAGAGAAGATTAGTATGGTCCCTGTCAAGGATGACACACGAATTCATAAAGCCTTCCATATTATTTCCATATTAAAAAAGAAAAAAAAAGAAAGAAATCAATCTTGGGGCTGGAGAGATGGCTCAGTGTTTAAGAGCACTGGCTGATCTCACAAAGGATCTGGGTTCAGTTCCCAACACCCACATGGCGGCTAACAACTGCAGTTCAGGGGGAAATCTCCTCTTTCGACCTCCGCAGGCACTGAATTATATGGATGCACTTACATGCATGGAAGCGATACACTCATACACACAAAATAAAATAAAAAATAATAAAAAATAAAAAAGAACTCAATCTTACCATAAAAGATTGACTGCATTGCATCTTTGAACACACCGATGTTTCTTTTGTCATGGTGAAAACGGAATTCATTCACCAGCTTGTGGCTGCATTTGCATCAACTTAATTTCAAAATCTGATGGTTACTATGTGAAGAATGTTTATTCCCATTGTGCATCCTATCTTTCATACACTATCTGCTTTGACAATGCCAGCATAGTATAGCTGGTAAATTTGGTGGCAGAACTATTTATTTAAAATATGTTTATTTTCCACATAGTCATTTCACTAAGTAGCTGGTAATTAGACAATGTCTAACATTTTGCCTATGTCATAAAAGAGACCATGATAACCACCATCAATGATTAGAATTGGATGATATTATAGCAAGAGGAGATTATTAGGAAAGCCTACCCCACATGGGAACACCCCACCCCGCCCCACACAGAAATGCCCCACACGGGAATTGCCATCCCTACCCCACATGGGGATGCCCCACACGGGAACGCCCCATCCCTGCCCCACCTGGGAATGCCCCATCCCTGCCTCACACAGGGATGCCCCACACGGGAACGCCCCATCCACACCCTGCACTCATTACTGCACAGTACCTGCCACAGGAAAGCCAGCTTCACTTCCTGGACCATTTGTCTTTTGGAAGGGTCCATCTTGAGTAGTTTTGTGAGAAATGCTATGCAGCATATAAAATTTGAGTTTCCCGTATTCTAGAACTTTCTTGTGCTTCCTATCTCAGTTTCAGGAGGTGAGGAATACTGGTATCAATAATTATTTCAGGCATTTTCTTAACCTCACATTGCTGAGAATTCTGGTATATTCTGACTCTTCCTTTTTTATTGAATGTTTCGAGATATCATACAATGTAATTTGATAGTATTTAGATCCCCTCCCAATCTGACTGCCCCACTGCACCATACGGCCCCACACAATTCAATGTACACTATTATATAATATATCCTATAGAGTCTATTTGTGCCTTCAAATGTCCTCCAGTGTGGTTCCATCCACCGGAACCTGGTTAACCTACCAATACTTCCATGTCTAAAAGAAACCATCTCTACCCTTCCCAGTAGCCATTTGTTGCCACAGTTTCTTAAGGTGGAGCTGGAACTTCTTACCCACTTTCTCACATCTCTGCTAGGATCTTGTCTGGTTTGAGTTTGCATGGGACTTGTGCATGCTGTCTCCATGGCTGGTGTGCATATGAGTTACTGACCAGCTCTCTGGGAAGCTGTTTCCTTGTGGTCATCACCATCATCTCCGACTCTTACAATCTTCCCTCTTCCACAATGACCACTGAGTCTTGAGGGGAAGAAGTTTGATAAAGGTGTCCTGTTCAGGGATCAGCAGTCTGTATCCTCTTGTTCTCTGATCACTGGACAGTTGAACATTTCTGTGATAATCACCATCTGTTGCATAAGGAAACTTCTCTGGTGAGAGCTACAAGATGCATTAATCTATGGTTATAACAATAACTCATTAAAAGTCCGTTTACTGATAAAATTATTTAGGAGAAAACTAGTATTGGGTTGTTCCCTATGTCCTGTGGCCTGTCTAGTCTCATGTTCCTAAGCCTAACATCAGCACCAAGTATGGACTCATCCTAAGAAGCAAATTTTAAATCCAATTAACGAGTGGTTGGTACTCCAAATACATTTGTGCCATGAGTGACCGGTAGGCATATCTTGCCAGGCCTGTTGTTATTTCAGTTCACAGGAGTCACAGCTGGGTAAGGCTGAGGATTATTTTGTCCTTCTGCTGACATACATAGCGCCCTCCAGCACTGTGAACACCAGGCAGTGGAGCTGTGGCTCTGAAGCCGGCACCAGCTTGATTTATCCTTGTCTGTCCTACGGCTCATGTATGCGGTGTCTTCAGCGAAGAGGCCCTGTACTTGTCTCTTCTTTTGCAACAGAGTCTTCTGCCTTTAGTTTTTTCCCTTATCAGTTTATCCTCATTGTTTAGAGATTATAGAATGACGGTGCCATGAATATGTATCAGACATGTACAGTATATGACATGTATACACAGACATTTGAATGACTGTGTACGTAGTTTTTTATCCAGTCCCCCAACTAATTCTGACCTTTGGTTTCAGTTTGGTTCTGCATTTGTTAATAATCTTGGCTATTCTATTTATTCTACTGCCAGTTCAGTGACTGCTGTGAGAAGCTATGACTCCATGTGTACTAGTGCTGAAGTTTTATTATATTTCTTGTGGATTATCTACTTTTCTCCTACTTTCTGAGGATTTTTCTCATGTAAAAACCATGGTTATTCATCTCCTTCAACAGGATCTGATTCTTCCTGTCAGGGACTGTCTGTGTGTCTTCAGGTAAGTAATTTTTCTTTCTTTCTTTCTTTCCTTCTCTCTCTCTCTCTTTCTTTCTTTTTCCCTCTCTTTCTATTTTTTCTTGGTTAAAGATATTTTTATATGTATGCGAGTTATGAGACTGGCTGTGTGTGTGTATGTGTGTGTGTAACATGTGAGTGTTCACAGAGGCCAAAGAGGGTGTTTTTTGCCTTAGAACTGGAATTACAACAGTCGCCATGTGTATGATGAGAACCAAATCTGGGTCTTCTGCAGGAGCAGTCAGAGATCTCAGCCACTGAGCCTTCTCTGCAGCCCCCAGGTCACCTTTTATGCATGTGTCTTCCTCTCCATCCTGTGCACGTAAATCCTTTGATATTCCTTAATTAGTTTCTATTTCCCCTCAACATTAGTCCTTCAACGTTTGTAGAGCTGTTGGGCCTTATCTCTGCTTTTCTTTATTTTCTAAGGTTGTATCTTTGTTCTCATTTTAGTAATATCTCAGGAGGTAGGAGCTAAATATTGAAGAATCCATGAAATACTGACAAGGTCATCAAAGAAAACATTTACATCATGGAAACATGTCCTCAATAGAACCATTTCATGCGACTTTATTAAGAGTCATCGAATCTCTTGATGGAATCCAAATCTCATCTGATGGCTGATTTACCTTTTTTCCTGTCTGTGCAGTGATCCATAAGGTCCAGTCATAAATCAATGTTTACCACTTATGTTAGTAGGTAGCAAGCTACCATTCATACATTGCATTGAAAACTCCAAGCATTTTTCTGCATACTTTGAAAAATCAAAATAATACAAGGGAAGCTCTTTTTACTCTAAAATACCCATTTTTAATACAAATATGAAAAATGATGTGTTTCACTTCTCTGGTTTTCTCTGTTATGTAATCCATTAGCATCTCCTATTTGCTGTATTAACTGGGAAAAATACATTCTTATTTAGATTTATGGTTGTTTATGCAGGGAATGAACTCTGTCAGCACATAGTGCTCTCTGTTACCGTTTCCAACAGCAGGAATGTTTACAAATGTTTCTTAGAAAATATACTGTGAGTAGCTAACATTCTATAGGGATAAAGGCAGTCATGTAACTCAGCACCACAATGTGTGGCTTCTCTTGTACATGTTTTTACTCTCTGCTCTGAGAGAGAATTGTGAGGAGGAGCAGCAGGTCAGGGAACAGTGATGCCCCCATCCAGAGGACTGAACAGGAATCCAATGATGTCATCTGAGGTCACCAAAAGGCTTGCCTGCCTCCATATGTCCAGAGTCCCATTAGGAAGTTCATTCTGCACTTAGTTTTAAGTATTCTTATGTGTATGTGGATGGAGTGTGTGTGTGTGTGTGTGTGTGTGTGTGTGTGTGTGTGTGTAATCTAGGACTTCGATGTTTGTCCTTGAGTTTATCAGGTTAGCAGAGCTGCACATTTCTGGGGAGACTCCTGTTTCCACCTTTGATCCTTCTCAGCAGCTCTGGGATGTCGGACTTGTGCTATATTGTTTATGTAGGGTCTGGAGTTTCAAACTCAGGTCCTGACACTCAGAATGCGAGCACTTCATCCACAAATTCATCTCCCCAGCTCTCATTCTACTTTAAACATCAAGATAAATTCATGTATATTATTTAATAAAAGAAGAATCACTTAAACTGACCATGTACAAATAATTTTCAGTCTCTGTCGTATCTGAAGATAATCATCCAGTTAGTCCTTATTCTGGCACATGTGACAACGAAATTCAGCTAATACAACTGCCATTCAACGTTTGTACGTATTTTCCATAATTTTACAAAGCTCAAAATCAGCAAGTGAGAGGCTGAACCTGGCTCCCCTGGCATATCAGAAAATGGCACGAGTCAACAGCGGGTATGAAGATTACGATTGTTGACTCCACATTTCAATTTCAACATTTCCTTCTCTATTAGAAAGAGAAACTAGAAGCTGATTAATCTAGTGAATTTACAACCCCAAATAGGTCAGTGATCAGCACTCACCTAGCACACAAAAGGCCCTGGGTTTAGTTCTCAGGACTGCGGAGTCAGTTCCGCTGACTGGAGAACTGTGCTACTTTATGTAATGTCACATTGGCTTACAACTTTTAAAAGACCTCCAGTTTGAGCGTCCTTCTGGACTTAGTCAGTTCTAGGTGCTTCAGTTACCATGATGAGTGAGACAGGAATGTTTATAAGCAGAGCACTGGAAAAGCTCCCAAGTTGCTGCAGATGTAGCAGTGCACTGGGACTGCTGACCTCCCTCTCGTTCCTTATTTTCTGCTGTTTTTGTTTTTTTCTCCAAACAGTGTAACCATAGTCCTCTCTCCTTGCTGTTTCTGCCCTTTGTCGCATCCCCCTTCATATTTGCATATATTCTTAAAGCCAGTTCAATTTTCATCCGGGTCAAA